AAACACACACACACACACACAAAAAAAAAAAAAAAAAAAAAAACAGCCTCCAATGATCCAGTCACTGCTTTGAATATTACTTATCACAATTATTGTCGTGACACGTTGTTAGTGCTCAAAGCTGAACTCGTAAGGACCTGTTCTCGACGAATGACATGATAGCCTGGAGAATTGCCGCAAACCCAGCCAGCTTGTGCTCGTCACCATACCTGAAATGGCACCACACATTGTCATCCATGCAGTTGTCGTGCCAAGAGCAAAGCAATCCACCTTTAGGCAAGAAAAGCAAGCCACTCAATATACAGCAGATCCTCCAAGACAACGACTCTGGAGATGGCGAGCACAGTGGAGAAGGGTGGGTCGTGTGATTTCCTTCTCAGCTTCATCAGCTCTGTCTGCATCACGCACACTGCTGCATTTGAGAGACGGCGAGCACAGTGGAGATGGTCCGTTCCTGGAGCAGTAGAAGTCGAGATCATACTGCAGAAAGGTGTGTCCAGCCGGATGTGCTATGGGTGAAGAAGGGTGTTTCCAGACAGACGCGCTATGGAGAAAGAGAGGTGTTGCTGCCACTTCACTTGCAATCGAGACAGAGTGATTGAATAACCTGGGCTGTTGGACAGGAGCACAACAAGCATTCCACTTGACCCACCACTCCCTCCAATGACCGAAAAAAAAAGAGATCAAGCCTGCCTCCACAGATGGAGAGAGAAACCCTTGGCCATCTGATCATCAATCTTATGTTCTTGTGAGCGCCTCTGCTAAGTAGATCAGACGCGAAGCGTCTGCTCGAGTACAAATGCGGGGCGCTCATCCATGCATCCCCCCAGACGTGGGGGGTCCAATGGACCGACTACAAAGGGGCAGACCTCCTCGTGATCAGGAACGTTGAAGCGGTAGTGGCGGTTCAAGACTGCTTCCAGGCATGGCACTTCCAAAGGAATTAACTCACGCTCGTTTGATGAACCCGTGCCCAACACCGTCTCACTGATAGCATGGTGTTAAGGCACTTTGCACACTTATACACATGAAAGTGCATTTCACTTACTGACAGATCTCCAGGCCGAACAGAGAGGACTGCATACCACCTTTTCCTTCTTTTCTTCTCCTTGTTAACAGGGCGACGGCCTCGAGATATCAAGTTTGATCTGACCGGCCTCAGAAATATTCAGAGGTAGGTATGTTTAGTCATCTGATTCCAGTGGAATTCGAACTCAGGTCTACGTTTCAACAATTGATAGGTGTAGCAACTGAGCTAGGCCAGTCGGTGGGACCGCATACTACTTTCTCCACCAGAAAGTGTAATCCCCATTGAAAACAGGGAGACATTGTGGTGGCTGGATTTTCCACATAGGCGGTAGGAGCATGTCAGTTTCAGCAAAAGAGAAAAAACCCAGAGCCACCATTTTCAAATTTTGATACAAAGACAGCTCAATGGAGAACAGAAAACTAAATTCACAACATAGCAACAGAAACATAACAAAGTTACAAAACATAACAGCAAATTGAAAACATTAGAAAAACATCATGCCACATTGGAAACATAACGCTAGACTGAAAACATACAAAATTCCCTTTTGGGTCTTTTGGGCCTTTTGGCCCAGTTACTCAATCCACAACCAATACTGCTTCCCAGAAGAGAACAGAGCCAGGACCACAAAGGCCCTAACTAAAACATAAAACCAAAATGAAAACATAACCAAGCTGTTGAGGAAGGGAGGCAGGTAGGCAGGCAGGCAGGCAAACTGGCAACCAAACACCGAGCAAAGACAAAGACATGCGATGTGAAATGGGGATTATTTCACAAAAATGAGCCACTTTCACCCACCTGCCCACAACCCCTCCCACTCCCTCCCTAAAGCCCCTCTCTCCATCTTCATGCCTGATCAAAGGCACCAAAAGAAAGGGTGGCAGTAAACCTTCAATGAAAAAACTTGCATTGGAAGCTACATCATGGGTGCACCTTTCAGTTCATGCGCATCTTTGCAGAGACATCATCTTATTGCATTCTATTCCATTCCATTGAATTGCATTTATGCTCAGCATCCTCCTTCACGCTAACCTCAATTTGCACCCAACAACGGCCTGCATACATTCCGTCCATCAAACCTACCTCCTGTAGTTCATCTCTACACTGGGTACACTCCCTTTCCCTCCACTATTCCTCAACCACGCAATTAAAACATCCACTCTACCCCGGCCTTCCTCTGTTCATCCATCTCCGGTGTGTCTCTGTGTGTGTGTGTGTAAGTTCATCTCTCTCTCTCTCTCTCTCTCTCTCTCTCTCTCTCTCTCTCTCTCTCTCTCTCTCTCTCTGTGT